TTGCTTTTTTGCAAACTGCTCAAAAGAAGCCTGTTGGTGTTGGTGGCAACACCTCTTTGGTCTCAGACCTCCCCAAGCCGCTGGTAGCCACCCAGAACACAGACTGTCCTCTGTGCCGTTCTTATGCCTGAGGTCAGCCTCCTCCCCACATTGCCACACACAAGCTTTTTTTTTATTTGGGGTTTTGCTCTCTCCAGGTGCCTGCCCTGCCTCATGCAAGTTGTTACAAGTTATTTTAAAGGCTTGCAAGTACTTACCACGTTTTCCACTCATGATTTGAAGCAGACCATGTGCCATACTGAGCTGAGTGGTGAAGAGATAACATTACAGGACTCCAGGTCCCCCGCCTTTCACTGTTGGGTCCCCCTCCCAGCACCAAGTGGACACAAAGCAGGCATTCAATGAATATGCATTCATTTATTTAGCAAATGTTTATTGTCTACTACATGTCAGGCAGGCAGTGAGATAAGGGCTGAGAAAATGGCGGGAAACCAGACATGTGCAGGGGGGACTTTGGCAAGGAACCAAGAAGAAAAAAAAAAAAACGGGTACTAGGAAGGGGGTGGAGTCTAGTGTGGCATCTGGTCAGAGTGACTCCTAGGTCTCTAAACAGAGATGCAGACACAAATGTGCGGCAGCCGCTTCCGGGACCCCTGCCCCGCAGTGGCCACTGAGTACAAGTGTCTAGACAGGGGCCGGCCTCGGGAAGAAAGCGGAGCTTGTGGAGCTATAGATTGGATGGAGGGCGGCTGGGCCAGGAGTGCGAGAACAGAGGGGTGGTGTACCACTGGAGCGAGCTTTTTTAGAAGGAGAGAACTCTCCAGTTCTCTGCTCCTCTGGAGCCTGGATTCTAATCCCAAGCCAGTTGCTTACCTGTTGTGTGTGACCTTGTCCAAGTCACTAAACCTTCCCAAGACTGTTACATCATCGGTTAAATGGTGAGAGGTTTAGAGGAGAATGCCTGGAAAGCTTCCCTGCACGGTTCCCCGCACGCAGAGAAAGCTCCCGGGACAGAGGCTGTCATTACCCGCTGCTCACACCACCTTGGATGCCCTGGCCTCCTCCGGCAGGAACCAGTGGCGGTCTTTTCTGCGACCCGCGGAGCGTCGGTGCGGACGCGCCCTGTCTTGATAAATTTATTAGCTTGCTTGGGGCGGGGTTTGGAAAGAGGCGAGGAGGGGAAGGAGGTGGTGGAGGGCAAAGAAAGGAAGAAACCGAAGGGCCGGAGGCGAGTAAGGCGGGGCCAAGGAGGAGCTGGGCTGGGTTCCTGGGCCCGGCGCTGC